ACAGAGCTCAACAAGGGCCGCCTTCTGGCTGGCAAAGTACCAGCACTTTCCATGTTTGTTTCCTGTTCTTTATCCACTTGCCACATCCCGGGGCCCACTTTAGTGCTGTGCACAGTTCTCTGGCTCTTGTACGGGGTCTAGATTTAAAGAGAGCCTGTATTAAGAGCTGGCAGAACCTTTCTCCCGTGTACCATTAGTTGTGTGGGGCTGTGTGAGCTGCCAGGTGTTGAGAACCACAGTGAGGCAAGAGGATGGTGCTGGAAGTCAGAGGGCTGGTGTCCTAAGGACAGCAACAGTCAGGATGCGCTAGGCACATAGGTAGGTGCTTCTGGGCACCAAATCTCACCTGTCTCACTTCTTTCTTGATGCCAAGGAAGGCAGAACTGCTAGGAAGGAGAAATGTGGACCCATGAAGCAGGTTCTATCAGACCTGGGATCCCGATAAACTGGGTCAGGAAGCCTTGAGTCATAGGCTGTGGCAAGGCAGGCAAGACGATGGCTGAGGCCTCCTCCACAGACAGCTTCTGTAGGTCTGGCTCTGAGGTGATTCCAGCCCTGGGAACCAAAGCTGCTCTGTTTCCGAGCCCACCCAGCCCTGACTCTGTTCACTGGATGCTGGCTGGGTGGCCTGGCTGAGGGCTTCCCCAATGGCTCAGGGTCAGACTCAGACAGTGGTTGGCCTCTTTGTGTCACAGAAGCAGCTCCTAGACCTGGAACCCTCCATGTTCTTCCATGTCTGACCAGTAGCTCTTTAGCTGCTCAAGACAGAGCTCAAAGGTCCTACTCTTCTGTGCTGGCTCCACCACAGGTGGAGTTCCGTTCCCCCTCTCTGCCTCTCAGTTTTCCACCTCATCCATGGGCTTTTGTCCCTGCTGGCCCAGGAAGATCCACTTCTCCGGCCTCTGGCTATGTGTCTAAATCTGTATGTACTAGCAGCCTGTTGAGGGTAAGCCCAACAGTTCTGCTTAGCTGTGACATACCCTTAGCAACTCATAATTTCTGCCAGATCTTTACAAATCTACACTATTATGTACATAGCATTTTTATTTACATATGCCTGAAGGGAGGTCAGACATTTCGTCTGAAAATCCACACCCCATCTCCCTGGATTCCTGCTGGGCTTTACTTTTAATATATCTGGTCCAGGTCTGTTACTTTGCTTCATATCTGTACCTGACCCTCCTCTGTTGAGGAGGTGACTGTCCACTCATACGGTCTTTCTGCTCAGTCTCATGGCATTCTTTATTTTTTACCTTTGCCTCTTAGACACAGCATGCCGGTAGAGTTTGTGTTTTAACCCTATACATTAGTTTGTCTTTACAGTTGGCATTTATTTAGTATGATAAGTAATTCTTAATTCTGTCCTCTGTATCTTTGTTAGCATTTTTTAGCATTATTTTTGCTTTTCTTATTTTCGTTGGTTTATCAAGTTCATTTTGGTTTTCCTTCTATGGATAAGCATTTTTCCAACACTTCCATTCCATTCATTCTTTCTCTGTGCTCAAAATCTAATTCATATTTTCCTCTCAAACAGTATACCTTTAAGTGATGCCCCACTCCCTACGTGCTAGCCTACTGCCAGATAGGAAGACCTGTGGAGCATCTCCAGAGAGCTTCTGGCCCTTCAGACTTCCCTTTCTCCTCCTCCTGAGTGACACTACAGATGCCTCTGTGAGCCTCTACACCATGTGGAGCAAGCACAGCTGGTCAGCTGGAGCTGTGACCAGGATTCCCTCACAGCAAGATCATGCCTTGTAAAGAGCTGTTTTACCACGTAGACAAGGAACAGCAAACTGACCAGAGGGTCAGACTTCGGCTAGACCTGTTCTTAGATGGCTTGTGAGTTAAGAATAGCTTTTTGCCTAATGAGCTGAAAAACATTTTTTAAAAAAGAATATTTCATGACACATGAAAACTAAGTGAAAGTTAAATATTAGTGTGCACTAATGGAAAGTTTTATTTGAACACAACCTCATTTAGGTGCAGCTCCCCACTGTTTCTGGACCTTACTAGCAGGGAAGCAATTGAGGCGGAGACTGAACAAGGCATTAGGGGACTGCAACTGCAGGAACATTGATGGCTGACAGTTCATCCCCCCCTCCCCGAGATTTGTTTGTTTTTGTTTTCTTGAGACAAGTTTGCAAAGTTTCTCAACCTTTTACTTTCTATCCTGTACTCTTTGGAAGGAACTCATATAATCTCTGCTTTAGTGGAGAATGATACTCTATTTTACCTTTGCAAACTTTTCTATGTAGTTCAGGCTGCCCTGGAACCCCTATGTAGATTAGGTTGTCCTTGAACTCACAGAGATTCTTCTGCTTCTGCCTTTGGAGTGTTAGTGATTTCTGTTAGTAGTATAAACCCCTCAAGTGGAAACAGATGAAAGGGTGCACTGTGGAGGCTCAACGGGGTGTGGGGTATCATCTTACTGAGCCCCATTGGCAAAGCCCTGTGCTTGCAATTATTTATGTTAACTCAACATACCCTAACATTACCATATTCTTAACTCACATAAAAGCAATGATTAGAAAAATGAGAAAATTTAAAATAGTATATTCCATCACTGTAGACACAAAATAATTAAAAATGGGAATGAAGCTGGTATCAAAGTTTCTGGGGGGGGGGCTCATTTGTTAGCCAAGCAAAGAGAGCCATTTACTAATGGTAAGTTAGTTAAATTGTGTTTGATTGCACCTGGTGAAAAAAAAAAGTATCCAGAGAAAATAAGCTTACTTAGGATGACTAGATTTGGAGTAAAAACTGTTGCTCAGGCTGGGCCTAGGTTCCACTTACTCTGAAGAACACCCATGCATTCAGGCACATCTATAGGCAGTACAGCAAGCATAGCAGAGACTGTATGCCCCCAGAGTTAGCATCTCCTGGGTGCCAAGCACTGGTGCAGGACCTTGATTAACATTATGTTTGACCCTGCTTCTATTTCAATCTCAGCCTCTACTGTGTAGGCCTTCTTCTTGTGTATCCAAGGACTGAAACATAGGAAGTCCACAAAGCTGACTATGAAAAATGACACCTTTACAAGCAGCAGAAAAAGAAGGCCCAGATGCCTTTAGCCATGCGCAGATGGTAAGTGTTCACTCACACCTAGCTATGAAGGTGGGGTCTCTCTTCGCTAGCAACTTAGGACAACTCAGGTACCTAAGCTGACTGAGTGTTCATAGGACACCAAGTCTGTCCAGTGTTGCAGAGCATAGGATAGAGATCAGCATAGGATATCAGATTTAACCTTTGTAAGATGACCTGACCACCCAGAAACTTCTTTGGCAGAGGCACACCTAGAAATGTCTGGAGTCAGCCAGCACAGCCAAGGATGAGCGTTCAGGATATTTTTTTGCCTTGCAAAGACTACCCATGTGTACAAACTCCACTCTCTTGAGTCAGCATGTCTATCACTGCCCTATTGCTGTATACACAAGACTTTAGCTTCTTCAGCTGTTCAACATGGACTCCCTCTTACCAGAGACCTTTCGGGCCTTCATTCTTGGACTGGGGGTACATGATTGATCCCTTGATGTGTACACACACACACGTACACATGTGTGTGTACTTTTTCCCTCTCCCTCTGGGTTCAGTTCCGTTAGAATAACATAGCTGCCCCCACACCCTCAGAACAACCTTGCTGGCACTTGGGAACTATGCTATTCTGCTTCATCTTGAACCAGTTCTCAAATGTGAAGGTGCATGCTTCATGCCTATCAGGTCAGGACTGTCTACAGTCAGATGGATGTGCCTACTGAGACCAAATAGTCATCCCTGGTGACTGGAGAAGCCTGGCTCTCAGAACTGCCTACGTGGGATCTGATTCTGTGACTGCAAGTCTATGGTCTGATGCCTCCCTGGACTAAGTATGAAAAGGCTGGTGGCCCTGGGCTGCCCTAGACTAGTGACAGGACACAGATCAGCATGTCTCCAGACCCTTTCTGTTATTCTTGGGAGGCCGGGGTCACTGCAACAATGTGTTTCCTTGTTCCTCACTAGTTCTTCCCATTCTCTAAGGAAGTGACAGGCCCGAGGGAGAACAATTAGATCTGGAGCCATACCAAGAAGACATTATTCTCTGATAGATACTTTACTACAGAATAATTACACCCCATAATGCCACTAATAAATCAAGCTGAATGAACAGCTACATGCACTTTATCACCACATCTGCAGAAGCATCTCTGCTGTGCTGAGGTGGATGGAACTCACCCAGGCCAAGGTCCTTAGCTGTGGGATTGATCGAGCAGAAGAGACAGGGAAGGCAGAGAGCACTAGCGAATACCCGTGAATTAGAAAAAGAGTCCCAGAAGTGTGTGCCTGTATCCCAGAGGTGTGTACTACCCAAGGGTCAGGCTTTGTACTAGTCACTGCACCAAGATGGAGAGGAGGGAGCTGATTTGGTGGGAGCCTAGCTAGACCCTGGGACCACACACAGCTATAAGCCCTGTGGTATAGCCAGAAGACCAGGTAGACATGATAGTGAGGCCTGGACCCCCAGGAGCCCTTCATTCTAGGTCTGGATTCCCTAGAACTCCAAGAAAGGTACCACATTGTACAGACTCCAATGACAGGCCTGCATCCCAGAGCTTTGTCTAGTCATAGTGACCCCAAGGTCATCAGGAAGCCGGTGACTTTTCTGGCCTTTTCTCCTCTTGTTCCTTTTATCTATGAAACCACTAGCCCTTTCTTACCCTGCAGGCGAAGTAGACCTGAACTGTGCCTACTAGTCATGAGAATCTGGGCTGGGCCTGGCAGGAGCCAGTTGCATGGAGCACAGGGTCCAGCAAAGGCAGGAGGCCTTTGGGAGAGGCTAGTCTGCTAACCTGGAGGCTCTGGCTATAGTCCAGCTCTGCGAGGGCATGATGGAAAGCACTCAGGTCGCCTTGTACTCTGGCCTAAACTATCTAGTTTAAAACCTGAGGACTTTTGACTCTGGCCCCAGCCCACACTTGGGCCTAGTACTGAGCAAAGAGAGGAAGGAACCCAAGGATTGAGCTTACCCGCTCCACAAGACCATGCTTGTGTTTCAGCTTGTATACCCTCAGTGCTGGCAGGAAGCTCTCTGTGTAGTTCTTATCTTCCAGTCCTTGTAGCAAGACACCATGGAAGGCCAGCCGGCATGTGTTGGTATGAATGTCAGCATCCAGCCTGGAGCCAATCACCAAGCATAGTCGGGGACAGGTAACTGGCTTCTCAAACTCCACCAGGGCCCATTGTTGCCTGGGGCACTGGCCCCCTGGGGTGTGGCCTGCTTTCATGTCCACCTCATCACCACCTTCTGTGGCTGTGGGCATGGAGTCTTTGCACAGGTACTGCTCTTGGAAGAGGTATTCTCGGGAGAGGTCGAAGAAATCAAGTTTGGGCTCCAGGTCAAAGCTGTCGGGAGCAGGGCTAAAGAACAGCATGCGGCCCATGACTGTCTCATGGCCCACTGTGATATGGAACTTGGCTTTAGTCTGCAGGGGGCCCCGAAAGTAAGGGATCTTTTCCACAGAGATGAGGGCTGCGTGAATGGTGTGCAGAGACTCAGGTGCACATACCAGCCCACGTTCCAGCAGCTTGGGGTCAAACTGGGTGACACAGATGCCCAGTCGATCTCCTTGCACAGCAGAGGTGACTGGTGTGTGAAACATCTGCATGGACTTCACTTTCTTCACCACCTGTCAGGAGCAAGAGGGAGAATATGTAAAATCACAAGCCCTGAAGCTGCCTACCCATCCCAGTCCTGATGGAGGTCTAGGCAAACAGTAGAAGGGAGGCCAGGGTTTAGTTAGACCTCTTTGGGCAAAGAAAGCAGCACCCCCAAGAATCAAGGCCTGGTGGCAGCATACATCTTTAATCCTAGTACTCGATAGGCAGAGGTAGGTGGATCTCGTGAGTTCGAAGCCAGCCTGGTCTACAGAGCAAGTTCCAGGAAGAAAAAAAAAAAAGAGCCAAGGCCCAGGTTAGGCCACTTTCCAAATCTCATCCCTGTGCCAGCACAAGAACAGTGGTCACTCCCTTCTCTCTGTTCCCTGGAAGCTGCTTCATCCAGGATCTACACCCTCAGGCTTCCTCCTTTTTATCAGCCATTCCAGAGCATTTTAGCCCTCTGCATAGCCTTTAACACCTAGTTCCTCAGCCTACCAGTGTGCCATTTGTTTTGAAAACTCAGGTCAGATGACAGGCTATGGAGTCTGTGACTGAGGGCAGGACGTGTCCCTAATTCCTGAGTAGCCCGCTCTTCTGCCTTTCCTCACCCATGAAACCCCCACTGTCTAGCTTATGTCGGCCTGCCAAGGCTGAGGGCTCTCTGAGAAGGGTCTTCATCTAGTTATTTGACATATTCCCTGTGCTTAACATGTGTCAGGCTCTATTCCAGGAGAAGGACCTGAATCAGCTCTGTTTCAAACAGTTTAATATCTAGAAACAGGAAAAATTATCTACACAGCACATGCAGATATATTGTTATTTTGTATAGCATAAGTTAATTCATAAAAATGTGTACTGATATTTACTGAAACACAATTCTACAATGTAGGTGCATGAGCCATGAAAAATACAACATGGCCCAGGGTGGGGAAGGCTCTGGTTTTACACGGGCAGGAAGAGGAGCACTGCTGAGGCAGCCCCTGAGTGAGGCCTGTGAAGATCCAGAGCAAGATAGCTCTAGGCAGAGGCACCAGTAAGGGCCAGGCCCAGAGATGGAGTCTCCTGTGAAGCTAAGCAGTTAATAAAGAGGCAGGAGGGCAGTTGCAGGCCAAAGGTCAAGGCCTAGGCGCCATGTATATCATGTGGAGTTACCTAAAGGGGCAATGTGATCTTATCTCAGTTTCTGAAAGGTAACTTTTGACTCCACACAGAGCAGGCCTCTGCCTTCACAGTCTGCAAATCAGGAGCAGATACAACAGAGCCCAAGATGGTGGCATTCCTCCTATGCCCCCCTCCTCCAATATGCCATCAAACAGTTTCAGTTTAACAAAGCAGAGTTTATGAAACCCATTTCAGAAAACTCAGCGAGAGGAGCAGAATGAGCCTGGATTTTTATGATTTGGTTACAAATATCCCTGCCACAGGGGCCAGAGGCAGGCACCCACACTTTTCCTTCTGGACACAGGGCGAATGCTGTGCTGGTGGCACTCAGACTCAGAGCCTTTCACTAGAGTATCAAACTCAAGAGTTTGTTTAAAGATCATTAACTCCCCACCCACAGGGTCAGAGGGCAGAGAAAGTGAGAAGCTGTGTCAAAAGCTGCAGCCCAGATCAATCAAAGGGAAATGCAAGCCTTCTCTGAGGTGGCCTAGGAGGCAGTGGGTGATGGGGGCGGGGTCCTGAAGACTATTAACTCACAGAACATCTACCCTAAATGTACTTGAATCCCTGCCTCTCCCTGGGCCAGGGCTCTACAGCAGATCTGAGGAGGAAAGTGTGTCACAGCTTCTCCCGTGGCTCCAGTCTTATTCCTTGTGACCTTTATACCCTCACCCATAGCTCTCAGGGGCCCGAAGGCCTTCAGTTAAACCAGAGTCCCTCTATATGGGTAGGCTGCCATACTCCTCAGACCCTCAGGCACCTAGGAAGCGCTCTGTAGAAGGTGGAGTCCCCCAGTCTTCAGTAATATTCTTCATACAGCCCAACTACACACCCTCTGCATCCCATGTGTACAACACTCCCCTAAGCCATAAGCCACAGCTAGAGGACTCTGGAATGAGTCCTCACACAGTGATTCTGAATGTTCTGTGCTTTGCCATGATTCCCTTCTTGCTTAGGTTTCTTCTTCTTGACAAATTCTTGGTATCCCTAGCACCCAGGGCACTTTGGGAAGGATTTCCCTATATGCACCCCAAGCAAAGCTGCACACTCTGATCCTGATCCTGCTTTACAGGTTAAACTCTAAGGCAATGAACACCCACCGGTAGGCCTATCAGTAACTGTCCCCCTAGAACGCCAGTGTCACCAGTCCTTGATCCTACTGTGCACTCCCTGCAAACGTGCTGCATGCATTCATCCCCTCTCCTTTCCCTTACACATGACTGTGTGCAGGCTTATAACAAGTGCAGTACAAGTTGCCAATCACACTGCCTGTGTGAGGGGCTGGGCTTTTTGAAGGAGTGCACTGTAGATAAGGTACTGAGAACCCTGTAGCTCACTAGCAGGGGACTGCCTGCCATAACCTTAGACTTAGCGTGAGCTGGGCTCCTGTTCACACTCATCTGCAGTACTTGTGATTATTGCTGGAAGGGCTATCATGAGCCTCTCCTCTCAAAAGGATTTGACCTGGTACCTAGATGCAAGGTGGGCTCTCAAGGATTTGGATCCTATAGCAGAATTTCAGGGTCTCAGGAGTGTTCAGTTCTTTAGATGCAGACATACACTTCTACCATCAGGGTGTGAGGCCAGCTGCTATATAGTCTAGCATTGCTAGATTTCTTAGCATTGCTTGCTGCTCCCACCCAGCGCCAGGCGGGCTTCCCTCACAGCATGCTTTCCTTTCAACAGGCTCATGTTTTCAGGACTGAAATAATAAAGAATGCCTTGCGAGGGCATAAGAGCAGAGAGGAAAATAACTGAAGATCAAGATTCCAAGGGCCAAGACAGGAAATTGTGAAGCAGATAAAGATGGGGACAGGCGGCATGCCACTACTTTGGCTCTCCATGGCACACACAGACAGTACCACCAGTCACCAGGGAGCTTGCAGTCCACCCTGGGAGGCTATGAATAGAGGGCTGACCTAGACACTAATAGCACAGAAACACACTTTCCTTCCTCTCACTCATTTATAGTTTTGTGAGACTCTATCCACTCACTCAAGGACCACCAAACATTCCTCACACAATGCAGAACGAGCTAGCACATGTGTATTGCTCAACATGTCTGCTACATTTCTTTCACATGTAAGTTTAGGGTGAGGATCTGGGCAAGAGACCAAAATTATTGAGTCTATGGATCTGCTACCTGGATATGGGAGCCAGAATTAAGTCTTCAACTAATGAATATTAATTGCATGACTGTGGGGAGGTGCAGAGAGAGAAAATATCTCAAAATAATAGCTCTACATTCCCAGACCTTAGGTGAAATGTGTATGCTAGTTCTTCCTGTGTTCACACGGCTATACCCCTGTTACCAAGAACAATAGCCTTGCCCTTTCCAGGTAGGTTGAGCATGGCCTTGTCAGGGCCCTATCTATGGTAGGCCCTGTCCTGGTTCTCTGGAATTAGAATGCACAGAGGCTAGGTGATAGGACTGGGATACTGCTGTATCCTGAGCAGGATTGCACAAGGAGGCTCTATGCCCTGATCTCAGCCCTGCTGTGGAAAGAAGGTGCAAACTCAGTGAGGAAGAGAGCGGGAGGAATATATCAAGCAGGAAAACAATTTTCTAAAACTCAAGTTTGTGCTTGCTAAGCACTTTGGTTCTTTCTCATTAACAAAGAAGCTTTACCATCATCCGGGTCAGTTATTCTACATAAAAACCCTATGAGGCAGGTCAATATTTTTACATTCAATTTTATGGATGAAGAAACAGAGGTTTGTGATGTCTCCAAGGTCACAAAGCAAATAGGCTCAGACTTGGGACAATAAACGTCAGGACTGCAAGGCAGGCCTGACACTCAGTTTCCTCTGCTGAGTAGCTGAGCAGAACCCAAAGCCCAGGCCACTGGAGCTGAGCGCAGATTGAGCATGAGTCCATAGAGCATAAGTGTCCATAGAGCATAAGTGTCCATAGAGCATAAGTGTCCATAGAGCATAAGTGTCCAAAGTTCCAGATAGATAATTACATACCACCACAACTTTCCCAACCCCACCAAGGCCCTCTGGTGGGTGAGGAAGTAGCTGAGAAAGTAAGACTTGCCTTGAAAGCCTTAGTAGTGATAGCAGACGCAGCCAGGCCTACCTCTCCACAAACTCACTCTGTCTGAGCTACCATGCTGCCTGCTCTGGCAAAGGTGGCAATAATCTCACGCAAACTAAGCCTGATGGTTTTCTCAGCTGCACTACCTCAGCACCCAGTTTGCATTGCAGGTTCATTCTGCTACATTCATGGAAGAGAGGACACAGAGCCTGCTGCCTGACACACTTCCTCCTGCTCTCAAGTATCTGCAACTTAGTTTTCCGAAGGTTGTACACAATGCCACTGTCTGGAACAACTGGGTTGGGTCTCACACTACTTTTTTTAATTAAAAAAAAATTTTTTTTTAAAGATAGTCTTGTGTAGCCAAGGCTGGCTTTGAATTCACTATGTAGAGAATAAAAATCCTGAACTTCTGATCTTCCTGCATCTATCTTTCAAGTGCCAAAATGACAAGCGTGTGCCACCACATCTGGTTCATGTGGTGCTGAGGCTTGAACCCAGGTCCTCATGCAAGCTCTCTACCACATCTTATGATAGCTAATCTTGGCTGTGAGTGTGATTACATCTGAAATTAACTAAAACCCAAGTGGTTGGGTATACCTGTGAGGGATTTTCCTTAATTGAATCACTTCCACCTTTAATCCTGACTTTTTGAGATGGGAAGACCCACCTGTAATCTGGGTCACATCTTCTGGTGGCACCTATATAAAGGGCAGAGAAGAAGAAAGCTTTTGCTCTTTGCCTGCTTGCCCTTGCTCTTGCTGGCAAGTTCATTCTTTCGCTGGTATTAGACACTGCTTCTTCAGGATTCCAGCATACACTGAAGAA